CTCAACCTTCTCTTGCGGAGGCTGAAAAGGTCCAGTTTCTCTAGTCTCTCCTCGTAGGGCTTGGTCTGTAGGCCCTTAACCATACGAGTGGCCCTTCTCTGGACCCTCTCCAGGTTATCCACATCTCTCTTGAAGTGCGGTGCCCAGAATTGCACGCAGTACTCCAACTGCGGTCTGACCAGCGCCCGATAGAGGGGAAGTATCACCTCCTTGGTTCTGTTCGTCATGCATCTGCTGATGCACGATAAAGTGCCATTGGCTTTTCTGATGGCTTTGTCACACTGACGACTCATGTTCATCTTGGAGTCCACTAGGACTCCAAGATCCCTTTCCGCTTCCGTGCCACCAAGCAGGTCATTTCCTAGGCAGTAGGCATGCTGGACATTTTTCCTCCCTAGGTGCAGCACTTTGCATTTCTCCTTGTTGAATTGCATTCTGTTGTTTTCTGCCCATTTGTCCAACCTGTCCAGGTCTGCTTGTAGCTGTTCCCTGCCCTCTGGCGTGTCCACTTCTCCCCACAGTTTTGTGTCATCCACAAACTTGGACAGAGTACACTTCACTCCCTCGTCCAAGTCGCTGATGAAGACATTGAAGAGTATTGGTCCAAGGACCGAGCCCTGCGAGACCCCACTGCCCACACCCTTCCAGGTCGATACCGACCCATCCACTATGACTCTCTGGGTGCGACCCTCTAACCAATTCGCCACCCACTGGATTGTGTAGTCGTCCAAGTCACAGCCTCTTAACTTGTTCACCAGTAACTTGTTCACCATAGGTTAGGGAGTGTCCTTCTCAGCAGCTCGAAGGCAGAGAGGGATCCTGGAGTCATAATTGACTCCAAGATGAACATGAGCCGGCAGTGTAACGAGGCCATCAACAAGGCCAATCGCATCTTGTCGTGCATTAGCAGGTGCATGATTAATAGATCAAAGGAGGTGATGCTCCCCCTCTATGCAGCATTGGTCAGGCCGCAGTTGGAGTACTGTGTCCATTTTGGGCGCCACACTTCAAGAGGGAAGCAGGGAATCTTGAGAGGGTCCAGAGGAGAGCCACTCGCATGATTAGTGGCCTTCGTGATAGACCCTACGGGTGGAGGTTGAGAGAGCTGAATCTCTTCAGCCTTCACAAGAGATGGCTGAGGGGAGATCTTGTGGCCACCTATAAATTTATTAGGGGAGGTCAACAGGGAATAGGGGAAGCGCTGTTTACTAAGGCACCCCAGGGAGTGACTAGGAATAACAGGTGTAAACTAGTTGAGAGTGGATTTAGGTTAGATATTAGGAAGAAAATTTTCACAGTAAGGGTGGCCAGGATCTGGAATGGGCTTCCAAGAGAGGGGGTGCTATCACCTAGCTTGGAGGTCTTCAAGAGGAGGCTAGATAGTCACCTGGCTGGGGTCATCTAACCTCGGTCCTCTTTCCTGGCAGGGGGTCAGACATGATGATCCATTGTGGTCCCTTCTGACTCTACAATCTATGAATGTTACTAAAGACTCTCAGTGATTTTATTATTTAAAGCCAAAGGCATTTTCCTTGAAAGAAATCCATCACCTTACAAACTGACCTTTAATGAGATAAGAACTAATCATAAGCCCTTCTGAAAAGATACCTATCAGTACATTATTTTGAAAAAAAGAAAAAAACATAAATAGGAATAAAAGCAAACGTTTCCCACCTCCCTTAGACAAAGTATGTGTTAGTCTGTTTTTCTGTCTGCATGAAAATGGGGCTCTGTTGCGGCTGGCTGTAATTTCAAGTTTCAGACTAACCACTACAGGTTAGTTAATTGGGTCAATCAAAATGTTCCTACCCACCTTCTCCCACAGTTTAGGCACGTGCCTAGAATGCTTCTGGTCTGGAAAATGGATAGCATACAACCTATGATTTTTCCATTTGCAAAAGGAGAACTAGACTTGAAATGAATCATATTCTTTTCCTTAATTTCTAAAAAGACTCTAACTAGTCAAATGAAAAATGCAGCATTCTGCAGATTAAATTTATCAGGAATTTGCCAAGATACAGGACCATGTTTGATTGCATTTGTGAAAGAATGCAATCCTTTGGCTACTTCAGAAACTTTGCATCTTGGATATTTAGGTGCAAAATTACACACACACACACACACTTTCACAGAAAAAGTTGATAGCCGCAGAGAACATTTGCAGGACTTTGAAAGTTCACAATATACACTGAAAAGGTTAGCATTAAATTATTTACTTATCTTACAGAGTATGCCATACAACTAGAGGTATACAGTCTATTTTTATTCCAGAATGAACTCCATAACAAAGACGACACTGGAAAAAAAAGCATTCCCACTTCTTTTTAAGCATCTATCATTAAAAACGAAAGATGAGTAAAAAATATAAATGTAGCGGGCATTATATTTTCAGTCCACTATTCTAAATGTAAAACAGTCGAGAAACTTAAAGACATACCAAATATATGTAGCTCTCCCTGCTTGATTAATCAAAAATGCTGAAGAGGAAGAAGGCCCCATAGCTCTCAGCCATTGTAAGGTTGTGAAATATACATGGGGAATAGCTGTACCACAGTATTCAGATGTCATAGTGACCCTATCAGAACCATTTAGTAAAGCCAAACATGACATGGATGAACTGTTAAGTATTCTACAAAAGCTCTTTGCAAAGCTATGTACCAGTGCTAGCTTCCAGATACACATTCTAGCAGTAAAATGCAACATGATGTAAAAACATACCTTAAAGAGGTTAAACTCTTGAGGAGCCTTTCAGATTGATCTGACAAGTTTGATGGAAGCAGTAGTTCAACTGGCTGGAGGCGCAAAACTCGAGACTCTAACTCTAAGCGAGATGCAGAGTCCTGGAAACTGTCAAAAAATACCTCCCCAGTAGTGGGCTGGATGGCCTGTCAAATAAACACAAACCCTGAGGTTTTCTTTTGCCACCAACAAACATTATACTTTGCTTGGGCATAAAAGCCAAAATAAATAGCTTGTGCTCACTTCTGCCTGAACACTAAAATTATTTAAGAGCTACCAAGCAGGAATATTTAAGGCTCAAGGAAGAGTTTTGGTTAGTCAACATTAATTATTAGCCTTAGCAAATCAATGCAGAATCTTTACATGCATGGTGTTGTATGCAAAAATAGTGGCTCCCACATGTCCCACAATGTCTTTGTGATAGCAGCAAATCAAAAATAAGTGCGTTTTAAAAAGAGGTACACCGATATATAGGTTGCATATTGGATTGGCACTGATAAAAGGAAAATTAACATTATCAGCTATTGGCTTTTTTTAGCTGATGTAGCTGATAATGTCACTGATAAATGCCACATGCAAGCACACAGATGCACACATACCAATGGCCAGAAATGCAGCCCAGCAGCTTGGAGAGCAGCATCCTGCTGGTAAATCTGTAGGGGGGAAGGAAGGGGTGTGGTGGGGGCAGATCAAGGCCTATAGGGTGAGGGAATGGGGCAGGAGCAGGTGCTGCCCAGCCAGGTTGGTGAATGGCACCCCGGAGCAGGGTGTGGGGCAGTCATGGGTGGCTCATCCAGAAGGTGCAGTTAGACAGGGAAGGTGGCTTCCCACTGCTGCAGTGACCCCTCCAGGATCTGTACACAGAGTGGAGGCAGGCTGCCTGCTGTGGGCTTGGGGTCAGAGGCTGCACCCCATCCCAGGGTCCCATTCACTGCCCTGGCTGGGCAGTACTGGCTCCTACCCCTGCCCCAATCCCAGCCCTCTCTCTCACCATGCGGGCCTCAATCTGCTCCCCCCACACCCCTCCCCCTCAAAGACTTACTAGCAGGACGCTGCTCTCAAAGCTCCAGGGCTGTGTTCCTTAAATCGCTTATCAAATTCGTATCAGCTGACATGGCTGGTTAATAATCGGCTATTGATATTGGCCAAGAAAATCTTTATCGGTGCGCCCTATTTTTTAAACTTAGAGCACATAGCTTCTATTGCAATATCTTCTGAATCAATACCATTTTAGTCAAAACATGATGCTAATGAGATCTTCAAATTGTTCAGATGTTGTGATGCCATGAGTACACCAAATATCATAATCTATTGCTATTAAGAGGCAATGCAAATTAACATAATTGAAAAGATATGACATTTATATGGGAATCCCCCTAAAATGAATAATTTATTTAAAATCTGCTTTTATAACTGGGACAGAGTTATAGGCTGGATCCAGACATGCAGGCACATGCGGTTTATGGCACCGCAAACCTCTTTGTGGTGCCACAAACTGCATGCCCAGCATGTTAAAACGTGCCCTACACTGCACATTTGCAGCCTGGAGGCAAAATTTGCTACCAGGAAATCTGGGTAGAAAAAAAACCCCCCTTATACTAAAGAAGTGGTGCGGCACATGCTCCCGAACTGTGTGCTGGCAGGCACAGAGGCTAAGTCCTCCCAGGAAAATCTCTAGCTCCTGGCCAAAGCAGCTACCCTCTCTAGTTCTCCTCCGACTCCTCCAGCCACCAGGAGCCAAGGGGAGTGGGGAAATGGCAGTTTCCCTGAAGCAGGGCATTTTGCCCCACACCAAAGCTCACATGCAGAGGCATGAGCAACAGCAAGTAGCAACACAAATCTGTAGCACTACTTTTTTTCCCTGCTGTAGCACAAGCCCCTGCATGTGTGGACACACCCACATTGTGCAACTCAAACACCATGGTGATACATAACATCAAAATGACTATATATATGATTTGTTGGTAAACAGAAATTTAATTATTTTAATCACTTCACAATTTTCCCAATTTATAAATTCTTCAATCTACTCGATGTAATAAAAAAACTGAAATCTTAGCAGTAATGAAAGATTTACAGTCTTAGCTTCTGTAAGGAAATAACCATTATACTAACTGTTAATGTTTTTAAATACTTATGGTATATGTATTTGCTTAAAGTGTTTTAAGCAAACATAAAAATCACTAGCCTTAATGATGTTTTATATTCCCAATATCATTTTGCATATAATAAAACTCATTAGAAAAAGCAGCATTTTAAAGACCATCAACTACAGTGTGACATTTGAAATTTTCAAACACACTGAATTTACAAAGGATTACTTTTCAAAAAATCGTTATCAGTAATACTAGAGGCAGACCAATATGTTGGTTGCTTATCAAATTGGCACCAATAAAAGGGAAATGACATGATCAGCTTTTTTGGCCATTGTAGCCAATGTTTACTGATAATTATGCCTTCTGGCCAGGGACCCAGATGCCTGGGTTCCCTCTCCCTTGAGGGGCCGGGGCCCCCAGATGCCTGGATTCCTTTCTATGAGCCAGGATGACCTTGAGCATGGAGGGCCCGATCCAGAAACAGGGGCCCAACCCATTTTCCATCCCCACTTCCATCCCCTCACTGGTGGGCCAGGCTGAGCTGGAGTGAAGCAGAGCAGCTGGTGCAGTGTCCTGGGCACTGGCGCAGTGTGGACTGCAGGCTGGAGTCAGGGCAGGCACTTTAAAAGGCAATGAGTGCCTCAGAGACGTGACTGCAGTGGAGAGGGGTGGGCAGAGCTGCCCAGCCTGCAGTGCCCAGGGGTCCTTGCTCCAGGGGCCAGGGGCAGAACCTGGCAGAGACTGCCCCTGGGGCAGAGCGTGGCAGCAGGTGCTGAGGCAGTCGCTCTCCTCCAGGCTGTATGCGGCAGGGTCCTCCCACGGTACCTCAGCTAGGGTGACTGCGCATCCCTATTTGGGACAAGTCCTGGGCTGTATGACTCCAGGACAGCATTTGTCCCAGATTCGCAACATCCTGTGGAGATTAGGAAATGGTGGGTTTCCACTTGCAAGCTGGCAGTATTCCAGCCTGCAAGGGGCCAGAAGCAGGATGCAGGGGGCACCATGTGTATGTGCATGCCTGCGCACATGCGAATGGCCAGGAAATACAGTCAGGCAGCGTCGAGAGTGGCTCTAGCAAGTAAGTCTATGGTGGGGAGGTCCCATGGTGGAATGGGGGAGCAGATCGAGGCCCCCATGGTGAGGGAGGGAGTACTGGGGCTCCCAAGGCAAAGGAAGCAGAGTGGGGAGCCCAAAGTGGGCATATGCCACGCTACCCTCAGCCCAGCCAGATCCTGACCTACATGAGGCCAGTGCCAGGTCCATTCAGCCTCCTCTGTGGGGCAAATCCCCTGGCAGCAGCAGCACCAGGAGGGGGACGGGAGGGAAGAGGAAGAAGCCCTCCCTCCCACCCCCCACAGTCCAGCTGCTCCCTGGACCTGGGGTCTGGCTGCAGGGGATAAGTGGCCCAGTTTCTCCAGGCCTGGAATGGTTCCATGGCCCTGCCATGATCCAAAGACCACCCAGACCTGGGCAGCCAGGAAGGCTCACACCTTCCCCCTCAGCCCTGCTCAGCAGGCTCAGGCAGCTGCCCCCAAGCTGGGGTTCAAGGGAATCAAGCAGAAGAACACGGGCTGAAGGGCTCTGCACAGCCAGTCACAGGCAACTGCTAGGCCAGTCCCACCTCCTGCAAATGGCACAGGCCCTGGGCACCTTTACATGTGCTCCAGGAGTGGAAGCAGGGGGCAGCACTTTAATTAGAGCAGCTCCAACAGTCACTCTAATTAAGATGCCAGAATGTCTCGCGTATCAGTGTCCCCATACTTACAAATGGTGGCAGGGATACTTTACCTATGGCTCATTTAATGAGCTTTAGTTCAGGAGCCCCAATCATCATTTTTAAGCATGAGGATGCTGATACACAAGATGCTCAAGGCTGCTGGAAAACACCAGAAAGCTTTATTTATGTCAGTAATTTAAAATGCCTTGCATTATTATTAAATATTGGTCATCGGATCGGCATTAGCCAATATGGCTGGTTAATAATTGGCTATCAGTATCGGACAAGAAAATCTGTATTGGTACACCCCTAGGTGATGCCATTTTTTATTTTATTTTGCATTGTGTTTTATAAATTCCACTAATATGAGGAGTCACTCATCATAAAGGAATTTTACAGTTCATGAAACAAACCTTAGCCACAAAAATCAGATATTTCTCAAGGACTACTTACCACAATGCCAATAACAGCATCCCCTTTCTTTTTCTCTCTCGAGTTTTCTTCATTTTCACAGATACAAAGTAGATAGTTATCTGTGACATCAGATGTTATTTCTTCAACATCTGCAGGATCATCTAGCTTCAGCAAGGGGTTCACATTTAATAAATGTTAAAAAAAAAACCATGAACTAGGAATTCACAAAGACATAGCCAAAGATGGACCTTGCAACAATTTTCCTTCCACCTATTATTCCACATAAACAACAAAAAGAGCAATTTGACAGAAGAAAGCCTATCTTCCCTGTATGGAATAGATGTAGATTATGGTAACATTCAAAGTGCAGAAAGCCCCATAATCTATAGCTGCATACAGGTGTTCATTTCTACTGCCCAGGAGCTGGAGCACATGCATTCCAGCCCCCTAGCTACAGGGCTACATAAGCAAGCTCTCCAGCCAGGAGCACTAGAGGGCTACTCCCTGGGCCACACCTATCTTTAGGAAAACCCATTACTTATCAGCCTTCTCTCCTCCCCTGCCTGGGAAGGGGCAGACTATCAAATTGGCAGTCCCTTAGGTTTTAAATCACCTTGTGTACAATCAAGGTGGGCTGCACATGGGATGACAAAGCTGAATGCATGGGAAAGTGGGGCTGGGGACAGCTTCCCTGACCCTGGGTCCCAGATCTCCAGTTTTTAACTCACCAATTGTACTGTCCAGTTGAGCAACACACACAACATTTAAAGCCCAAAGGGTCATGAACTGGGGCAGGCAGAGGTACCATTTGAAGTCCACAGGGCTCAGAACCGGGGCAGAGAGAGCTTCCCCAGCCTCAGTTCAAAGGCACCACAGCTTTGTAATCTCTGACACAGCAATGGGAAGCTGATGGGGACTGGGAACCAGCTTTGGGGGCAGCCTCCCCAACCCTGATTCCCAGTTCCTGGGCTTTGCGATCCCCACCCCTGCTGCCAAGCTGGATGGTGGGGGCAGCAATGGGAAACTGGCAGGGACCAGCAGAGCCCCTTCCCCAAAATGGGGACTACCGAGTTTGGGAAGAAGTAGGGAGCAGCAGTTACTCCCTTCCTCTCCTTTTCTCTCCCAAATCGAACTGGGAGGGGAGCCTACAAGCATTCGTTCTTGCAAAAGAAAAACTCTCTCACAAGGCAGATCTTTCAGGTTGAGACCTAGGAAATAGTTTCCCAGAAAAGGCATTCCCCCCACTCCCCTGGATAAATTTAGTGAGTGCTTATATACTTCTCATTTCTACAGGAAGAATGGTGATTTTCCCAGGAGAAATATAATGCCCATATGCAGCCTCAACCAGTGATTTTCAACAGGGGTGCTGCAGGATTAAGGTTGGTGCACCACCCAGCACCTATGCAAGGAAGTAAATACTCTCCTCCCCCATCCAGGGCTCGGTGCCTGACCCAGCTGCCTCAGCAGTGCTTGCGACTGCTTCTCTGAGGACTGTTCTTGCCACTGACCTCGCCTGCCCTCAGGCAGCTCCTGTGTTGGCTGTTCCCACACTGTCAGCAGCATGTCCTGAAGCCCAGCTCATCCCCGCCACAACTCACAAGCTCCTAAGCCAGCAGGAGGGGCTCCAGGTGCAGTCACCAGCATATGAGATCTGACTGGATCAGTGTCAGTTGCAAGAGCTGTGCTTGCTCCCTCAGGTACAGACAGGGGTAACCAGACAGTGAAAAGAGCAGGGCACACAGCAGGGTTAGGTCCTGCCCCCTGCCTCTCTTACGTGGCACAGTTAGATCAGTGGTTCTTGGTCTTTTGAGCCTCAAAGCCCCCATCCATATCTTTTCTGAATTTAGATTATAGCTCAGTGATTCTCCACAAGGGTGCCAGAAAATTCAGAAAACTTATGGAGGACTTTTTAAGACTAAAAAAAAGGTTAAGAGCCACTGATCTAAGTAAATGATGATCCCACATCCATGTAATCACAGAATGCCACAGTGTCTGTATACACCGGATCAGCCCATTAAAAAGCCATTTCCTTGTACCATGAAGTCAGAGCCCAACAATAGTGGACTGCATCAGAAATCAAATTCCCTACTGCCTTTGCACTCTCCCTGCTCAGAAAGAAGCAATGACTAAGAAATGGAGAAAAAAAGACAAAAACAAAAGAAATGGAGGAAAAAAAATAGAAGTGGAAGGAAACAGCTGTACTGGTCAAAGCTGTTTTTAACGCCTTTTGATAACCTATTTCACCAGCAAGTATGAGAGCTTGACTAACTCAATTCCTCAGCGGGAACTGGCCTTAGGCTCATAATGCTAACCCCCTTTTCTTCAAAACCCTGTCAACTCCATAACCTCAACCCCTTCCTGTTCTCAAGATCTCTTACAATGATTTACTAATGCTACATCTATCAACCGGTCAAAAAACTAATTCAGGCATACCAAAAAAAAAAAAAAAAAGCCTAGACCTCCAACAATCCATTAACACTTTTGGAGAAAGCAAGACTTGCAGGAAACATGTGACCCCCTACTATATTACAATGAACTTAAATCTCTAACAAATGTTATTCATCATGATCACAGCCTAAGCTTTGGAAAGACTTTCAAGTACTATTAGTTTTGGTTAGTAGGGCTATGCAAAATGGCTGCGTTTCGATTTGGTTTCAGTTTCGGCCATTTCAGAGGACAGTGATTCATTCTCGTGTTTCAGATCGCTGTCCTGTTTCATTTTGGCCAAATCTCCTCCAAATCTGTTTCGAAGCCCAGCTGGGCAGGGCTTGGGGCCAGGGGCTGTAGAGCCCCAGCAGGGAGCAGGATGGGGCAGTGGGCGGCTTGTCCAGGGGAGAGGGAGGGCCACTGCCCTCCGTGCAGGTGAGAAAACCCCCATGCAGATCTCTGATCCCTGCAGAGCCAGGTCACACAGCAGGGACCAGCACTGCCCTGCTACGAGACCTGGCTCCTGAGGGAGCAGAGATCTGTGCCAGGAGTCTCCTCGCTGCTGCTGTCCAACCCGTGCAGCCTCGGATCTGTGCTCCCTGAAGAGCCAGGTCAGGCGGCAGGGACCAGAGATTGGTGCTGGGGTCTCCTGCCCGCTATGTGCAACCCCATATCGCTGCTCTCTGTGGAGCCAGGTTGCCCATCAGGGACCAGCACTGCCCTGCTGCGTGACCTGGCTCCGCAGGGAGCAGAGATCCACACCAGGGTCTCCTAGCTGCCGCTGCCTGCCCCGTGCAGTCCCATGTCACTGGGATAACGGGGGGGCAGGCAGTGATGGCGGAGACCCCCAGCACAGATCTCTTCTCCTTGAGGAGCCGAGTCACGCAGCATGGCAGCAGCGTATAGCTGTTTCCCTGCAAGCCTGGCTCTGAAACGCCTAAAGTTTCCGAAACATCACCAAAACATTTCTGAAACGTTTTGAATGCCTCATTTCATTTTGGAGATTTTTTTGAGCCTTCCAACTCAATTCAGATTTGGTGTTTCGAGCACCAAAATGGTCTGAAACACCTTCAAAACGAAACAGCTGCCAAAATTTCACACAGCCCTATTGGTTAGTAGTAGACTGAATCCTTGTCTGCCCTGGATTTTTTAAGTTAACTGTTAGAAATGAAATATAAACCAATGTTTGCTCTAATCTTGTCCAATATGCAATACCCTTTCCTCTGCAAGCAGAAAATCCTGCTCTCATGTTTCTGCACCCCTCAGGACTAAGGTAAGGAAGCTCTTAATTCATGAACTCTGATTTCTAGAAAAAAACAATTCTGATCTTTATATCCAAATTCTGGCTTTTTTTAACTGCCAGAACTTGACAAACTGCTATTACTAGAACATGGCTCCAGTACTGCAGCATTTTCTAACTTCACAGATTTCAAAATATCTGAAAATCCCAAAAACTGAGTTTTTACTTGTGAACTTCCCGCATTTTCTACCAATTTTTGCTAGAATTGGGAAGGCAACAACTACATGATAAAGAACAATCCTTGCCAATGCAGAGGTAAAAAGAAGATGGAATGAGATAGCCAGTACATCCCATTCCTCAGCTGGTACCATAAGCATACCCTTTGGAGCTGCTGAAACAAGTGGCAAGGCTTACTGAACATTCAACCATACAAAGCACACCAAACGTTTGTTTCCACAAGCAAAGTAATTAAACCAAAAAAGATATCTTCTCCAATCAGTGTAGATTTGGTATAGAGAGCAGTCAGCTTTCTGCTAAAGAGGGAGCTTTTGTTTTCTCCAACAGCCTTCAGTGCAGCAGTCTCCGTTTGTTTCACAACTCCCACCTGCAACAGAACCAAAACACAAATGGAAACAACATTAACTGTGGGATGAAAAAAAGCTTTCCAAATAAACTGAAGAATACCACTGGAATTTAAGAGATGCAAATAGCAAATTAAACACTGATAGGCAGGTGAGGGGTTAGCAACAGCCCTACTAATTCAGCCCACTGATGGGACAAAATTTGCTCACCTGCAACTTGCAGATAACCTCTCTTACCCTCCTTCCCTGCGTGTCTCACATCCTTTATTGGTGGGGGGAGAAGTCAGACACCTTCTGGAGAACTGCCACAGTGAGGCCATATGCATCAGTTCATCCTCATCATAGGCAGTCAGAGTCAAATTAGACAGTAAGAAATCCAATGATATCTTATCTGCCTTTATAAGCTATTCTGTTTTTAGTGAAAGCTGAACCTTGAACCTTTTTTGGGATAGGTGGATTATAAATCAGAGACAGACAGAGGTTTGCTTAACAACACTTGAAAAGCAGAAGGTTGGTTAGGATTAAAAAGAAAAAAAGGGGGCAGGGGAGAACACAAAGGAGAGAGAGAAAATGCTGCCTTTTTTCAGTACTTTGTATCTCACACAGTAAGATCTGCTCCCAAATTAAACTGTGAACCTAAGTGCTATAGAATGAAGAGATGCAAATCTATTTACACTCCAAGACATCTCATACAGGAAGAGCCCAGGGAAGGGTGTAACAATTTTAGTTTCAAAACACATGATAAGTTTCATACTTTGTGATTTTTTAAGCAAGTCATACACCCATGTTAAGCTTGTAAATTACTTCAGTTAAACACGAAACTCAGGTTAAAGTTAAACCAGTGGGGGCCAACCTTTCTGACAGGTGTGCCACATATATGCCCCAAGCCCTCCCCAACTGCCACTCTGATCCCCTTCTCTTACCAGCTCTGCTGCTCAGCTTTCTGCTCCATGCCCTACTGTTCTGCCCATCCCCTCCCTAATCTGCCACACGCCACATACAGAGGCTGCATGTGCCACCTTTGGCACCCATGCCACAGGTCTGCCACCCATGTGTTAAACAAACTAATCAAAGCCAAAAATAACCTTATGTCCTTTTGCTACAAGTCGCCGCACATGCACAAACAGCCTGAAGGTTGGTATGCTAGCAGTCATGAAGTTGTGATCCAGATGACAGAAAATATTTAGCTCCTTAGCAGCAATCTGTAAAGCAAGAAAAGAATACACTGGTCAACAATTCACGTCAGGCTCACTCACTGGAGTAATTTGCAACAACAACAGATGTACTAGAAATACAAACTTGTGAAAAAGTACCTATTCATCAAAGCTATGGCTGAGCATCTCAGAATGTCTAAGTAGCAAAACAGAAGCACTGGAAAACAAACGATGGAGTAACAGTTCAGCTCCTCAGTGTCCTATTATGAACAGAGGAGTGCACTATTTTACTTGTCACCTGATGGTATATGTACACCGCTTAAGTAGTCCCAGGCATCTCCCTACTGAGACGCACTGTGCTGCTCTGTGCATACTACTTTCCCAGCTAGAACTAGGGGTGCACTTACATAGATTTTTGGGGTCAATACCGATAGCCAATTTTTAAGACGGCATATCGGCTGATATCGATACGATTTCTGATACCAGCCCAGCAGCTTAAAGAGCTGCATGCAGCTGATAAGTCTCTTGTGGTGGAAGAGGAGGGAAGGGACATGAGGGGCGCAGATCAAGGCCCCCAGTGAGGGAGGAGAGGGGCTGGGGCAAGCTGCCCAGCTGGGACGGGGCAGGACGGAGCTGCAGCTCATCCGCAGCATGTGGGGCAGGTCCCACCACTACCTGCCACTGGCCCACCCCCCCCCCCCTGCCACGGGCCCAGCGGCTCATTTGGCACTCTCCTGTTGGTCCAGCAGCTCCGCCGCTGCTCCCACCGCTTGTCCGGGAGAGTATGGGAGGGGTGCATGCCCCTGGATCTACGTGGGGCGGGCTGGGTCCACGCCAAGCTCTTCCTGGCAGGGTGGGGCTGCACTTGGGGCAGGCAGCAGTGCAGGGGGGGAAGCTACGGTGAATTTTGGGGTGGCTGCAGCCCCTACCATAGCCCCATCCTAGTGCTGCTGCTGCTGCTGCCTGCCCCAAGCACAGCCCCACCCCGCCCTGTGCAGATCTGGGGGCACACCCCAATACACTCCTGGACAAGCAGTGGGAGCCATGGCAGGAGTCGTCGAACGAGCGCCAGATGAGCAGCGGGCAGCAACAGAAGCCACACCCCACCCCCTCCCTGCGCTCCCCAGACAAGCCATGGCTCTGTCCTGCACCCACCCTGCCCCAACTGGGCAGCACTTGCCCCAGCCCCACTCCTCCCTTACTGCGGGGGCCTTGATCTGCACCACACGTGCCAATTCCCTCCCCCCTCCCCTTCTACCACAACAGACTTACCAGCTGGATGCAGCTTTCCAAGCTGCTGGGCTGTGCTCCTTGCCGCCTATGTGCTGCACTGCAGCTGTGCGCATGCACAGGCCATTTATTAGCCAAATTATCAGCTATATCAGGCAGATTTCTAATACAGACAATTTTCTTTATATCAGTGCCAATCCAATAACCGACTGATATGTTGGTGCACCTCTAACTGGAACTAGGGTAGCCACTCACATGCAGTGAGACACAAGCCAACAAACTGCTGAAAGCCAAGGAGCCACCAAGGCATTTCCAGCATTTCCAGTTTGCACATGCAAAGAAACATGTCATGTTCTGTGGCATCGTAAGTGAGTAGCGTAAATTTACCCTATTTCCTTCAGGGCCCTATCACAGAAAATATGCAAAGAGCCAAATAGTGCCCACTGAAGTCCAATTGCGATGGAAAATTGTTACCTCAGACTAAGTAACTACATAATGCACTTCAACTAAACTTTAAACATCACTGGGTTACTTAAATACTGTCAGGAATAGTATCATTGCCACTGCTAAATATGACATAAAACAAAAACTTTTTTTTTCCAGAGGCTAGGGTCCTGCACAAAAATCCACCAGCCTGAAGAAGCAGTCTGTAGCAGAAACTATGGCAAAGCTGCAACACACATACACACATCGCTCCCCAACTCCCCGATAATACGTTTTCAATTTGAGGGAGTAAATCTGCTAGCAAATTAGCAAGCCAAATAAATAATACAAAAATAAATTGGGGAAATGAAGCCTCCAATACCTAAGCAAGAATAATTTTCCCTGTGGTCTTAATTAAATATGGAAAGGGTGTGGACTTAAAAATCAATACTAATGATTTGTAGACAGACTAGAAAAGATTGTTTATGGATCAATTTATGGTTTGCAGACTGTTGAGCTCAGGATCCCTTGAAAGTTTTCTTATTTAGATAGCTTTGGTATGCACAGATGTAGCAATTGAAAAAATTTCATAACCAAATGTGTCAAATATAATGTTAATATTCTAAATCACTACCCCCTTCCTCTATTAAAATTGCAAGTTGTGTTATTATCTGTAAATAAAGCTCTTGAAACCACAGAATCACAGGATCTGAAAGGACCTCAAGGGCAATCTACTAGTTCAACTTGTGGCAGACATGCAGGAATGACACACTTAAATCATCCCTGACCAGTGCTTATCCAACCTCTTCTTGAAAACCTCCAGTGAAGAAGATCCCATAACTTCCCTAGGCAGTCTATCCCACTAACTTACTCTTCTAACAGTTAGGAAGTTTTTCCTGATATCTAATTTGCTACAGTTCAAACCACTGCTTCACATCTTACCCTTTGCAGTAAGGGAGAAATACTGTTGTCCTTCTCCCTTATGGTAGCCTTTCAGAGATCTGAAGACTGCCAAGATGTTTCCCCTTAAACACCTTTTCTGCAAGCTAAACATACCCAGTTCTCCTAAACTTTCTGTCCAACAATTTGCCTTGCAACCACTTTATCATTTTTGTTTCCTGCAATCTGGGCCCCCTCTAATTTGTCTACATTGCTTTTAAAATGTGAAGCTCAGATACACATTGCATTTTGTTACAGAAAATCTGACTAATTTGCTATCAAGCTATTTCCACTTTGCCCATTTTCTGTGCCACGATACAGCACCCATCCTTAACAATACTGCCATTTTACCTCTGGCAGACAAGAAAATGTTATTGTAGTATCAGTAGTATTTCTTCAACTCTCACATTTGGGAAGGAATATTGCAAATATTTTCATAACACTGTTTTTGTGCACAGGCTATTTGTAGGGACCTACTCAAATCATGATTTTGCGGATGTTGACAAATTGGGTGATGTCTGTGAAATATGTGGTGGGGAGGAAGGGGGGAGGGGTGGAATGGACAACTTGCTAAAAGTAAAACGCTGGTTCCTCGGTGAGAGACACCAGTTCTAATGGACACAGCAACCCAGCCACACAGCCCACCAGGAAAGGGAGGGGGGCAGGGAGGGAATAGAAGGGGGACTGCCAGCATGAAGGGGAGTAGGCAAGATAGCTGCTGTCCCACCCACCTCTTGCTGCTGATTGGTTGAGGGCTGTCCATCATGCGGCCCTACCCCTCTCCACCAATCAACAGAGGGGCAGGGGCCACATGATAGACAGCCCTCTTAACCAATCAGCGGTGGAGGGCCCCTTGGCCAGAGGCATGGGCAGGCTCCCACCATTATAAGGCTGCAAAAATGGCAGCCAGCCCCACAATCTGTCCACAAAACTGACTGCCTGCCTCTTCAATTTGAGTAGGTCCCTAGCTATTTGTAATGCAAACCTTTCAACTTAAAGAGCAGAAATATTAGCGATGTTAACTTCCAATATTTAACGTATTTTTTAAAATGAGTCTCTCAGCTGCCTCCTCATTATACCATCTATCTGTATATGCAATGCAACACAGTAATACGAGTATCATCAAGTAGCATTAATAAACATAACTTACCTCTGCATCTTCTCCAAAGAAACGATACTTGTACCCACATTCCACACACAAAATAGCATCCTTATACTGTTTCTTCAGTTCTATGACTTGAAGTTCCAGTGGAGTGTAAACAGTTTTAGTTCTTTTATTAATATTTGTATCAGAAGTATTTTGAGGTTTTTCATAACTCTTATGCGATGCTGAAAACTGATTAAGGTCAAAGCACGGCTCTTCCTGTGAAGAAAAAAAAAGTACTGTAGCAACTAAGAAAGCATACTCAAAAATATAATACTTTGTTTAATCATACCTCGGCTCACATTTGCTTTTAAGCCATATAAGTTTTGGAGTGAAGTATCCCATAAGCTGTAGAAAAACTATTATCACATTCAAGAATTAAAAAATGCATTTCACTTGCTATTTAGTTGTATTACAATAGTACCTAGGAGTTGCAACCAAAATTATGGCTTTATTGAACAAGGTACTGTGAAAAACAGAGAGTCACAGGCAACCCTAGGCCCAAAGAGCTAAAAATCTACACAAACGAGAGTCAAGGAATGGACAAAAAGGTATTACAAACCCCCTTTTACAGATGAGAAAATGAAGCAAAGATGACATAAGAAAAGCATAAGTATACTGCTAACCTACCATGGTAGGCAGCCCTCTGCTCTTGTAGAGGTTCTTTTACACAGAGCAGACTGAAGGACCCAGACCCAAATGTGTTTTGGGAACCTAGAGCCACTAGTTAGTTCTCTATTTGTTTGCTTTGTAACCAACGATTTTTCAAATAAGGAAGTCCCAAAATACATAATAAGGGGGACTTGCTTTACAATGCAATAGTTTTGTAACAAACCCCCATAAGAAATGAACAAGGAAAAAAAATACATGAAAAGAGAGTATTTACTATAATAGGGTTAGTCAATTTCCTGCATCATAATGAAAAATTAGTTCTGATATTGGTACCATTAAAAGTGGGTGGTTGTTGTAAGATTACATTGTAGTTAACAACCTTAAATGCAACTTTGACATGATGTAGTCCAGTAATAATTCTATACCCAGGTTCTGAGAGAGAAATAACAAGAACTTCTGCAATACTTATTATATTTCCCAAACTGAACAGAAGCTGAGCCAGCTACCACACTGGAGAGAATATACTCTGTGAACACCTTCACCCATAATCTTCTGCCACCAACATTTGTGTCTTCTGATCTTTAAACATCACTTATTTACAGAAAAACATTACAACTTCAATTGTGCTGTTTAACACTACTGAAGAATGACAAAAGCTGTTCTGCTTACTGTATTAAGAATTCAGAAAAATACAATATATAAATGTCAGATGATGTTGGTGCAGTATTGGACAATTCTATGTTGAATTCTACCATACCGAAATGCAAAAGAAACCCAATAATCAAGCCTATATTTTAATCACATAAAGCAACCCCAGCTGCACTGTGACTGAGTGATCAGCTCTGCATACCTTCCGACTGATCTGTGAACCAGTCTCCTCAGAATGAAGAGAGCTATTTGTTTCCAAAGTTCTTTCTGCAATACTGGGACATTTTTCCAATCCCGCAGATTGGCTCCCTTGAAACGAAAGTACTTGGCTTCTTGTATGTGACTGCCCTGAATCACTGGAGAATTCTCTGAGCTTGTCAAGTGTTTTCAGACATAAGCGGGACCCATCGCATTTTTTAGGCTCTTCTTTATTAATAAAAATACAGAAGAAGAAATGTGTTAGTAAATTATCTTATAGCTAAAGTTTCTTGTAAACTGGCACCCAGCACAAGGGTATTCAACATTTTGCTCAAACTCACTTGCCCAAGAGTATGCTTCTAAGAAACTGTAATTATACAATACAGAAGCTCTGCCTGTCATAGTGGCAGAAGTAACTACCACCAATATTAAGCTATACTCACTGTCTAAAACAAAATTTAAATGGTACTTAATGATGCGATCAACTTAACATCTTGCTTCTTTTTTAAACTATTATTTTAAGTAACAGCTATAATAACATACTGAAAAATACACAAGTTTTTCTTCTTCTCCAGCTTGTTTATTCTCTAAAATTAACAGAGCTGTGTGTATGTGTAATCAGATTCATTACCTTCCCCATGCAGTCAGCTTCCCCTACTTATTTTTTTTTCTTCTAACACAAAGTAATGACGTAGTCTTAAAAACCTGCTGGGGTAGACAATGGCACCTAAAAGTATTTTTAGATGTCATGTTTAAGTGCAGCGTATTCCAAGATGACGGAATCTCTTAATTTTTCCTAATTATTATCTCCCTATACTTCCAAGCAGTATAAAAAGGTTGGTATTTGAACATAGTCCCATTCTACTTTGAAAATTATTCCTCCCCTTAAATTTTTAAAGGAAGGTTAAATATAATGACATCTGTATCCACTGATTAGCATCATCAGTTATCTAAATGGAGCAAAATCTTTATCTAAAATTAGTTTCAGTGTAATCCAGTGGCTGTAACTTCTCAACAATTAATGGTACCTCAAAACATATGCTGAACTCAAAAATCATCCTTACCATATCTGACAAGAATTGACAATTAAGATCTATTTACTAGGAGGTTTAAGTGTCTAAAGTCAGCAACTGCTTTCAAGCATTCTGCAGCAGAACAGCTAGGGGAAAAGGCAGAGGTGAGGACATCAGTGGGAAAGATCCAGAGGACTCAGTAGTCTAGAGAGCATGAAGTACAGGGCCGCAGGAATGAGGGCTCTAAGACCACTGCACCAAGGAAGAAAAGGAGAGTGGTGGTAGTTGGTGACTCCCTTCTGCAGAGGACAGATGCACAAATTTGTCATCCAAATATGGAATCCCAGAAGGCTTGCTGCCTGCCAGAAGCATGTATTCAGGCTATCACAGAAAAATTGCCAGAAATCATCCTTTCCTGCTTGACCATGTAGGCACCAACGATAGTACCAGGAATGACACTAAATAGATCAGAGGAGAGTATGAGGGTCCTGGCAGAAGGATTAAGGAGTCTGAAGCATGAGCAGTGTTCTCATCAACCTCCCTGTGGAAGGTAAGGACCCTAACGGTGACCATTGCATCACGGAAATAAACACATGGCTAAGACAGTGGTTTTAGAAAGGCTTTCGATTCTCTGATAATTGGCAGATGTTCTGGGGATGAGGACTGCTATTAAGAGACATGATCCATCTGACCAGAACAGTATGGAAGGTTTTAAACTAGATTCCACAGGGAATGGTAAACAAAACCAATTAGCAACACAGCAGACAATCCAGAGGGGAAAAGACCTGAAGAAATAGTTCAACTGTGGGAAAGGGCTAGAGAGCCACAGGACATCAGCAAGTGATGCAAAAGGGAAACAAGTAGGTCAGAACGCAAAATATGTCTGATGTATGTACACAAATGAGAGAAGAATAGGGAACAAAGAAGATGAGCTAAAAAATCACTGCCTGTGAAAGGAACCACAATCTGACTGGTATCACAGAGACTTAATAGAACAGCTCTTATGACTCAAATGTCAGTATTGAGGGCTACACTCTGTTTTGGAAAGACAGGGTTGGGAGAAAAGGTGGGGGCACAGCCTTGTATATCACTGGTTCCCTGGTTCAGGAGGAAGAAGGCAGGATTTCAGAGTGCATTTGGGTGAAGATAAAAGGTGAAATATACAGCCCAATATAGTGGTACGAAAGTATTACAGACCACCAAATCAGAAAGAAAAGGTGGATGAAGCCCTCTTGAAGGTGACAAAACTATCTAAAAAGTTATGCAGATTGTACCGATGACAGACTTCAATTTTCTGGACAGCTGGAAGAATCATACAGCTAAACATAGCATGTTGAGCAAGTTCCTAACTTGTGTGGAAGACAACTTTCTGGAATAGAAAGTTGAGGATACAAGTAGCAGATCACAGAATCATGGAAAATTAGGGTTGGAAGGGACCTCAGATCATCTAGTAGTTTAACCCCCTGCTCAGAGTAGGACCAGCCCCAACCAGATCATCCCAGCCAAGGCTTTGTCTAGCCAGGTCTTAAAAACCTCCAAGGATGGAGATTCCACCACCTCTGTTCTAGTATTTTACTGCCCTCCTTGTGAGAAAGTTTTCCATAATATTTGACTAAACTTCTTTTGCTGCAACTTGAAGCCAATGCTCCAGTGTTCTGCCACCAGTGAGAACAGTCTAGCTCCATTCTCTTTGGCATCCCCCTTCAGGTAGCTTAAGGCTGCTATCAAATCCCCTTGGTCTTTTCTCCAGACTAAATGAGCCCAGTTCCCTCAGCCTCTCCTCAGAAGTCACGTGCCCCAGCCCCCTCACCATTTTTGGTGCCCTCTGCTGGACTCTCTCCAATTTGTCCACATCCTTTCTGTAGTGGGGGGGGCCCAAAACTGGACACAATACTCCAGATGTGGCCTCACAAGTGCCAAATAGAGGGGAAAAAATCACTTCTCTCAATCTGCCGGCAATGCTCCTACTAATGTAGCCCAGCGTACTGTTAGCCTTCTTTGCAACAAGGACACGGTGCTGGCTCATATTCAGCTTATTGTGCACTGTAACCCCCAGGTCCTTCTCTGCACAGCTACTGCTTAGCCAGTCACTCCCCAGCCTGTAGCAGCGCATGGGACTGTGCCATCCTATGTGTAGGACTTTGCATTTCTCCTTATTGAACCTTATGAGATTTCTTTTGGTCCATTCCTCCAATTTGTTGAGGTCCCTCTGAATCCTCGCCCTACCCTCCAGGATATCTACTACTCCCCCATCTTCCTGTCATCTGCAAACTTGCTGAAGGTAAGCTCTATTTAATCTTCCAAGTCACTAACAAAAATATTGAACAAAACCGTCTGCCCCAGGACCAGCCCCTGGGGCACTCCACTTGATACCATCTGCCAACAAGACATCAAGCCATTGACTACTACCTCCCAAGCCCAGGGATCCAGCTAATTTTCTGTCCACTTTGCAGTCCATTCATCCAATACCCCATACTTTCTTAGCTTGCCTGTGAGAATGCTGTGGGAGACTGTATCAAAACCCTTGCTAAAGTCAAAGTATATCGTATCCACTGGTTCCCCCAAATCCACAGAGCTAGTCATCTCGTCACAGAAGGCAATCAGGTTGGTCAGGCATGACTTGCCCTTGATGAATCCATGCTGACTGTTCCTAATCACGACCTTCTTCCCCCAAGTGCTTAGAAATGGATTCATTGAGGACCTGCTCCATTATTTTTCCAGAAACTGAGGTGAGACTGACCAGTCTGTAGTTATTCAATCATCTGGGACCTCTCCCAATTGCCATGCGTTTTCATGGATGATGGCCAGTACAGGATCATCTATCTTAGATCCTGTATTGACCAATAGGGAAGAGCTGGTGGAGGATGTGAAGGTGATGAACAACTCAGGAGAAAGCAATCACGATATAAAAGAATTAGCCAATAACCCATCAAGAATGACCGGGGAGGTGGGATGGGGCCACCACCCCATGCCACCATCACCTCCCAGGAGCAAGGAGAGAAGCTTGCTCCGCCATCCCCTCTATCCCACTCTGCCAGCACCCCATGCCGCCACCGCCTCCAGTGCTGCTGGCCTCACCCCCACTCCTCAGCCCTGCTCCTCAGAGGTGGCAGACCACCTCACGCCCCTGCCTCCCCCCACCCCAGCTCCATCCCCTCTGTCATGGTGGTGCGTCGCACTCTGACTGGTTGTTTCACTAACCAATCAGAGTGCTCCAAGAGCGTTACAGAGAGGCAGACAGACAAAGCCCTTTATTATTATAAACATATTATATAAGGATTTATAATCCTGACACTGAGAAAGTATGAGGTCAGCAGAACTAAGACACTGGACTTCAAAAGGGCAGATGCCAACTGACTTAAAGGAGATAGCTGGCAGTGCCATAGGAAGGCAGACTGAAGGATAAAGGTGCCCAGGAGGGCTTGAAGCTTCTAAAGGCTGAAGTATTGGAAGCCCAAAAAGAAACTGTTCTGACAAGACCGAAGCATAAGAATGACAAGAGACCAATGCAGCTGCACTAGCTGCTAATGTTCCTGCTGGGACTAAAGCTCAAGGCTAGGTACAGACATTCAAAAAGCTGGAAGCAGAATCTGTCTAGATTACAGAGTTTTCTGTAAGTGGTATAGTTTAGATCAGTAGGAAACAGAACACACATTTGCCCTTGATAGGAAGAGCAAATCTTAGACTACGTTCTGCCATTTTTAAACCAGCTTAAGTATGCCAAATTTCTGTTCCAATATGGGTATAGACCGGTTTCTGGTCACTTAAACTATAATGTCTGGCCCAAAGGTTCCTAGCTACAAGGTCTTTCCCTTCCACTTGGGGTCAGACCAAATGCCACATCTAAGCTCAGGGGGGGAACTGTACTGTCAGACTGGTATGAATTGTGGGGGCATGGCTCTCTTCCTTAGATCTCTTGAGCATACTTTAACAAACCTTGCAGCACCAAGACACTGGCCACCACTGTCCCCCTGCTTTTCCAGTCACAGATTAGAGTGCTGCACTTTCTGGTTGTGTGGCATGGTTGCGCGTATAGTTTCAGAGGTCAGACATGGCTTTGCCAGGGATAATTTGGATAGGGATGATCCTGCCTCATACAAGGGATTACACAAGATGACCTCCAAGGGTCCTTTCCAGCCACACTTTTCTTACAAAATCAGAGTTTTGCTTACAATGAACTCACCAACATCCAGAATCTTCACAGAACTACCACCTTCCTCACTATTTTTTTGTATGGACTTTGATCTCTTTTTGCTAAGTTCATTATTTGGAGGTGCTCGTCTCTTTTTTCCATCAGATTCAGAACTCTAAAACAGAATTTTTAAGAAGTTAGTTTCTCCATCATTTCCAAGAAAAAAATTAAAAGATACATGAAGAACAAATCTGACCTCTGTACTAGACATCAAAAACTCCTATTTAATTTATTACAGAAATGATAAACCCTTAGCTATGTTAACTACACACATTCACAGATTGCCAGGATTTTTCAAATGGAAAAAGCAATTAGGGCCTGGACACAAGACGTGTTTACATTATTAAAAACAAGACCAGAACCACAAAACCAATGCAAGAAAGGAAGGCAGGCTGATAGCATGGAAGTGTAGTGACACTGTTTTCAAAGTAACCTTTTCTTTCCACTTTGAGAGGCCTTTGCACAGGTCCACTTATAGGACTCTAACAAGCAACACAATGCCTAGACGCTGGGCTGAGATATTCTATGTGAAAACCTGCATTTGCAAACAGAGCTCCTTTCGAGATGTCAAACAGAGAGAGAACTGCCCATGTAAAGTACATGCTTACAAAAGGTATGTCCCCCACACATTTTTGTAATGGAAACTTTACAAAGGCATGTTACACCCTAACCCCAGTATCTGGGGCTCTTGGAGCTCACTCTAATCTACTTAGGCATTGAGTAGAGAGTGGATTCTCTTCACTCCCACTTCCTAAATCCCTCAGCATTATCTAAATAAAACCATAAAACCCTCTACGTAGAGGGTAAGGACACTGGATTCACTGGGCAAGAAAGAGGAGCAAAGGAGGCAGGTAGAATATGGACCTCATTTTAGCATGAATTCAAGATAAGGAGACTACAACTTTGTCTCTGCTGCACAGTTACAGAAAGCTCAGCTAATAAAACCTGCAGTTCCCTAATCCTTTGCTCAGATGCAATCCTGACTGAAAATGTTGTCTTAAGCCACAAAAATAAAGTACATTTCTTCAGACGCTTAAAGCAGGGGCCTTGAACAGAGCTGTTATCTGGCCTGCACAGCTCCTGGAGGGGCCAGATTCACCACTGAAATCCAGGGCATGAAGCCCCATTGGCAATGGGTGACAGTGGCAGGGGTGAGTAACAGCCGTTTACCCCCTGGCCCCCTTTGGTTTCCTGATGCTGCTTGTCCTGCCACGACTGTACACAGATCCCACCCATGCAGAGCCCCACGGTCCAGATTGGGGGGGGGGCAAGTTTCTCACACAGGTCTTAAATGGATGGGAAGGCACTAATCACCACTTTCAGCAAGGGTGGGGGGGGCATGAGGATGACAGCAAGTTCCCAGAAGATAACAGAGAGATGCTTTCACAGGTAAGGAAGGGAGGGATATGACACCAAGATACAGGGAAGACTTCAGCAGCACGTGGCGCAGTCAAGGGCCATGGAGCAAGGTAGTAGCCCACTCCACAGGGCAGACACTATCTGCTGCGGGGAGACAGCAGGAGCGTGCCAGGGTGCAGCAGAACCCCCCCACCGCGCTCGGTGCGCAGCAGCACATCCAGCCTGGCCCACAGGCCCAGGCGAGCCCCACACAGAAGGGGCAGAGGCAGGGCTGCACTTGGGCTCGGAGCCGAGCGGGACGACGTCCTGCCCCCCAAATCGCCCAGGCCAAATCCCTGTCTTGGCCTCCAGCTTCTGCACAGGACTGCTCCCACCCGCTCCAGGGCAGCCGGGCACAGGCAGAGGAAGGCTCCCGCCAGCCCCTACTCCAGTGCGACCAGGGGGCACCGTCCCTGCCTGACCCCCACATCGGGCCGGGGTCTCACCCTGAGCGGGGGTCGAGCGAGAGCCTCGAACCAGGACCCTCAACCCGGGACGCGCCGCCACCGCCCACACCTACCCCGCCCCCCAGCGGCTCCTGCCCGCTCTGCGTCGCCGCCGGGCGGAAGAAGCGGCTGAGCACCGACTGCCCCTGCCCCGGCCGCCGACCGCGCCGCATCGCAACCCACAGCGACTCCCGCGCCGCCGCGTAACGCACTGAGCGCCTGCGCGCTGGGCCTGGGGGCGGGTGCCTGTTCCGCGCACGCGCAGTGCACCAGGTGGGGATTGGGCGCCAACTCCGAAATCGGGCGGGGCAGGACGGATCGGGCGCGCTTCACCATGGTCAGCTCCTTAAACGCCATAGCGGCCGTGAGCCAGAACATGGGTATCGGCAAGAACGGGACCCAGGGCCCCCATGAGTCGCGGCACGCGGGGGGGGGGGGTCCCCGGGAATCGCCCGCCCCCGCCCCGCAGCGCGACCGCCTCTTGCTCTGTTCCAGGAACGAGTTCAAGTACTTCCAGCGGATGACCACCACGCCCTCCGTGCCAGGTACTGCTCGCTCGCCCCGGCCCGGCCCGGCCCGGCCCTGCCCCCTGCCTGCCTGCACCTGCCTCTGCCTCGCAGGCTTGGAGGGATGGATGTACATGTGTCACTGGGTGTGTGCGTGCGTGTGATCCAAGTATGTACATGCGAGCACACATACATACACCTATGCACACACGCATATACTTATAGTTTGTGTGTATATTCAGTGTCATGCACACGCACGCACACAGCTGCCCCAAATTTGGTAGGTTCATACTTTGGTAGGTTCCTAAGTGCATGATTTGCTTAGTTGCATGTGTGTGTGTGTGTGTGTGTGTGTGTGTGTGTGAGTGCCATTGATACGTGTGTGTATGACATTGAATATATATGCAATGTGTGTGTGTGTGTGTATTAGAGATGCACTGATACATTGGTCCAATATCAGACCAGCACCAATATAAAGAAAATTGAGTGTATCAGAAATCAGCCCGATAAATGTCCATGCCTGCGCACAGCCACTGTGCAGCACATGGGTAGCAAGGAGCACAACCCGCCTGGCAGCTTGGAGAGCTGCATGAAGCTGGTAAGTCTGTGGTGGTGGTGGCGGGGGCTGTAAATAAGTGGAAATTCTGTCCTAGCTAGTGAATCTGCCTGAAAATGTTGCTAAGTTGGCAGAATAGATAACAACTCAGTGTACACTGAAAAGTTTAATTCATTATCAGCCTTATTTCATTTATGTGCAACTTGAATTCATGCTTAATTGTCTGCTTGCTTGTCTATGCTTGTACACTATGCTTACACTTCTGTTTGGCCTAGTGCATCTGTAACAGGGGCAAACTGGACCTTTTTAGCCCTGTGCAACTATCAGACCCATCAGTGAAGTGGTCAGGTCCTCGTCTGACCAGGCAGAGTGAGTGTGACAGTAGGGAAAGAAGCCCCTGCAGTAGATCGTAAAGCAGAAGAAAGTAAAGGTGGGAGTCAAGGGTGGGCAGAGGAACCATTTTGACATATTAAGAATTACAGTGTAAAAGAAAACTGTCCCCAGAAAGCAGCTTGGATATGGCAAAGGCTCCAATAAGCATCGTGCAGTTGGATTTTTTAATAAACGAATACACTAAATAACAACAGGAGGTCTAAACTGGGAGGAGGGGGGTTCTGCTGGGTTTCTGTTAAGTTAAAAACAGCAAAGTTTTTAGTTTTGAACAAGGGACCTAGTTGGTCTCGTGAGACTTCAGCAGACAAATTCCCAGTGGCTTCCTAAGAATGCTTGTTTCCAGCAGAAAACTCGTTGCCCGCATTTTGGTGGTTCACAGATCATAAATTCGTAGTGAAATAATTTATTTTCAAAAGCTGGTTGATTTGAAATATTACCAGTTGTCTCTTATGTAAAAAAAATCATGATTTCACGCTGAAGCTGCCTTCTCAGTGGTGTGGAACTGGCACCTGGAGATTTAAGTGAGGGTGGAGTAGGGCATGCCGTCTAGGAGAGCAAGTGCATATCCTCCCCATTGGTTCCTATGGGACCACTACAGCTGGTGTAAAGGAAGCAGGCAGAGGCCATCGTCGGGTTCCCCAGGTTCAAGAGAGTAGACAAGTAGCTCCTCTTTCTCCTTATCCCCACTGGTTTCTGTTGCATTAGGCAAGTTATTCAACCTCTGTTTCTTATTTCTCTGCCTACTCCTCCATCTGTAAAAGGCAGTTGATGATGCTCCCTTCCATGAAATGTAAATAATCAGATGATCAGTAAGCTCTGAAATACTGGGATGACAGGTTTTGTGCTACAAATTTATCATACATGCATATATTAGAATGCACTCCACATATATTTGAAGATCTAATATGCCTCTAGTCTGGGCTTAATGTTTATGAACATTTTCTTTACAGACTGTCCTGGAGTTTGGATTTTATAGTACACAAAGCTATGGTGTTTGTCTCATGTTGTATATGGAAATACTGAGTGTTTCAGCAGCAAGGTAGCTTAAAGCAGCCAACAGCAAGGATTAAAAAGAGAATACTTGAAGAGAGATTCTAAACCATACGGGCTTTGAGCTGGATCTGGCCCACAGAGGAACTTTGCCTGGCCTGCTGTAGGTCCCTTGATCCAGCCTGGCCCAGGTGCCATCTAGTCCGTGGCATGTCCCACCAGTCCTCGGGCACGTGGTGAGTTTGGAGAAGCTCTACATCTGGACTATCTTTCTAGACAGCCCAAGCAGCAGTAACAGCTCCTTCTGGCTGCTGCCACCACTGGCCCCAGCCCCATGGTACTGACGGGGACCCATACGCACAGCCCTGACTCCAGCCTGCCCTGCACCCACTCCAGACTCACCCAGAGCAGAGCAGACCAGCTGGAACCATGCGCACAACCCCGAACCCCGCCTTCCCTGCACCTGCTTCAGACTTGCCCACCCATGCTGAGCAGCGGCAGCAGCAGTGGTGGCCAGGCAGAGGCTGCAGCTCGGCACAAGGGAAAAGCAGCCACGGCCAAGCCCTTCTTGTTGCAGCCACCTAGAGCCTGTACCTATGCTGCCTCTGCAGTGCCGGTGCTGCCTTGCTGGGTGGCACAGAGGTGGCAATAGCTGCAGAGAGGAGCTGCAGGACATCTCAGGTGCAGGCTCTGGACAGCTGCAGCAAGAATGGCCCAGCATCAGTGAAGGGAGGGGCTGCGTTTCCCCCACAGTGTGCAGCAGCTTCTACCTGACCACTGTCACTGCTCAGCATGGGTGGACAGACCAGAGCAGGCACAAGGTGGGTCAGGACTGTATACACGGGTTCTGGCTGTTCTGCTTCAGCCAGGACGAGTCTGGAACAGATGCAGGGTGGGCTGAGGTCAGGGCTGGGGCTGTGCACTGTTGGGGGTGGTGGGGAGCCCGTAGGCCCAAATAACTGCCCACGTCTGTTCTGGATTTATTTGGTTCCATTTGTTATAATAGTTTCTTTCTCAGTTCTCAAGACAATCCACAGAATGTTATGCAGTGGGGCTTACTGTACAATCCAATAATGAGAACTGTCTGAGTAGAAACATGCAGTCTTTCTTGTGCTGATTGTGCCCAGTATGAAGAACAGCCTGGTCTCCAGTACAGGCTTCCAGTACTTCGTGGAGTAACCAAAACCCAGAATCCGGTGGCGATGCATAAGGGGTACACATGCTCCCCTCCCCCCCGGACTAAGGCAGTGCCAGTCACCCATGCTGGAACCTCTGATAAATGGAAGGAAAAAGGTGAATAATACTAATTAAACTGTTAGACCCCGACTTCATGCGGTACCTAATGACTAGGGAGACGACAATCCAATTGCTCATGCATCCAGTTGCTCAGGGAGCAAACGCCCACACACACTGCTCGCAACAGCTTTATTCAAAATGGAGACAGCTTTGGGCGAGCTCCCAAAAGAAATAAACCGGGAGCAGCAGTGAACATTAGTTCTTTTCACATTTTATACACCTTGGTTCATGCTCATTAACATTTACTCTACCTTTGCCCCTCCTTTGTTCCACCCGTATCTTCTCCTATCTCAAGCTCTGCCTCTATTTACTGTTTACTTCATTAGCATGGGATTACCTATGCATTTAATTCATTTACATGTCTTTTTGCTATGAGCGCATGTGTAAGACCGTGAACCATGCTTCTCCCAGTCACTTGCCATTTCTTGCTGATTTCAGCACCATCTCCAAGGTCTTGCTTCTGTTTTATCTCCTGACAATAGCTGGTGGACTGCCTCTTGTTCTCCTTTCACACAAGAAATTATATATCCTACACACTACCATATTGTAAGGAAACTGCTTGTCTAAGCATCTTGCAATGTTACTTTTAATATATCATTCTGCCTTGTGGTCAGCAGCTTTGCTGAGACACAGAGTAAACCCTTTATTCAGCTGCAAAATCCAGTGCTCCCCAAGATCCAAATGCAGTCACCCTAACATAAACCACGACTAGACTTTATGATTCTTCTATGTCAAAATCCATCCTGATCTTATACTGAATAAAATTTTGGATTCTGTCCATCATGATAATGACCAGAAATCTCTATTACTCCTCTTTACATCTGTTCAAATGAGGCAAGTTCAGTAGTGCTACTGGATTTGCAGTATGTTGAGTGACAATATGATTAGCTTTAAAAGTAGAGTAAGATTACCTTACTTTACCTTGCCTTACTGTCTCTTACCTTGAAGAGCTACTTGGAAGTGCTTAAGCATGTTAGTAATGCTTGAAGTAGAATTCAGAGAGGGGACAATAAAATTAATTTAGGCTGTTACACTGCTCTCTTCCACCAGAACTCTGTTTAAGTAATGTTTCACTTGGTACAGGACAGGTGAAATCATGCCACATTCAAAGCAAACCCTAATGACCTCGACCCCTTCGTGAAACACTTTTTCAGAGTTGCCTGCCATAAAGTTAGGAAAAAATGGCACTCTTACGTTTTTCAATTAAGAATGCTAACACAACAGTAAAGGAATTTCTCCTGTAGAGAGGGCCAACACAACGTTTATGAAGCATCTAAGAACAGCTTTGTGGGCAGTGGGGTCCCCCAGGGCTCGGTCCTCAGGCCTGCACTGTTCAACGTCTTCATCAGCGACTTGGACAAGGGGGTGAAAAGCACCTTGTTCAAATTTGCGGATGACACTAAAATGTGGGGAGAAGTGGGCACGCTAGAAGGGAGGGACAGGCTGCAATTGAATATGGACAGGTTACAGGGGTGGACAGATGAGAACAAGATGGGTTTCAGCACTGACAAGTGCAAGGTGTTGCACCTGGGGAGGAAGCACCAGCAGCAGACCTACAGGCTGGGGAACTTCCTTCTCATCAGCACAGAGGCGGAAAAGGATCTTGGAGTCATTATAGACTCCAAGATGAACATGGGCCGCCAATGTGGGGATGCAGTCAGGAAAGCTAACCATACCTTGTTGTGTATCTACAGATGCATCATGAGCAGGTCCAAGGAGATGATCCTCCCCCTCTATATGACATTGGTCAGGCCGCAGTTGGAGTGCTGTGTTCAGTTCTGGGCGCCGCGCTTCAGAGGGATGTGGACAGCATTGAGAGGGTCCAGAGGAGGGCCACTTGCATGATCAGGGGGCAGCAGGGCAGGCCCTACGAGGAGAGACTACGAAACCTGAACCTGTTCAGCCTCCACAAGAGAAGGCAGAGGGGATCTGGTGGCTGTCTACAAACTGGCCAAGGGGGACCAGCAGGCAGTGGGAGAGTCCCTGTTCCCCTGAGCACTACTGGGAGCAAAAAGGAATAACGACCATAAGTTGACAGAGAGTAGATTCAGGCTAGATATCAGGAGGCACTACTTCACAGTCAGGGCGGCTAGGATCTGGAACCAACTTCCAAGGGAAGTGGTGCTGGCTCCTACCCTGGGGGTCTTTAGAAGGCGTCTAGATAGACACCTAGCCGGGATCATTAGACCCCAGCATCCTTTCCTGCCCATGGTAGGGTGTCAGACTTGATGATCTGCTCAGGTCCCTTCCGACCCTATCAACTATGAAACTACGACATATGCTGCATGGCTTTTAGCACGTGCAGAAAAATATACCTTAAATGCATATTTGAAATAGCTGTTATAGCAGTGCTGTTTGAACTAGGCAGTTTTGGTAAGTCATATTTAGGACTTTGTTAATTGTAAGTTCTTGTTTGAGCCTGGTTTTTGGTGTAAAAATGCATACTTAGGCCCTGATCCTGCAAATGCTTGTGTCTGTTCATGTCATTGTATACAGTCCCAGGATCAGAGTCTAAGTTTGGTCTTTTATTTACATTTATTTGCTAATGTTTAAAACTTGAATCAGCAGTTTAACATTTTAAACAAAAATGGAGGGGGCAGGGGATGAAATCCACCAGATGTTGCTAAACCACTACAGCTATTTTTGTACTACATTGAAGATATTTTCTAAAAAGAACCTTTATATATTATTCCCAGGTAAACAAAATGTGTTGATAATGGGTAAGAAGACCTGGTTCTCTATTCCTGAAAAGAATCGTCCTTTAAAAGATAGAATTAACATAGTGCTCAGCAGAGAACTTGCGTAAGTCCTGACTTTGGTCTTGTAAGTAATTTGCAAACATTATACACTGATGATTGTTTGTTGTTTTTTCAGCATTATTGCATTTTATAGTTCAAGTTTGGAATAATGTAAGTGTGAAGTAGATTTCTAAATAGCATAGGTGCAGAATAACATTTTTTTTAACACGTGTCCCATCCTAAACCACTCAAAAAAATCCACATCTGCTGTGTTGCTTGTTGTGGATCTTGTTGATTTTTGTTTTCTTTTTTTTGCCTCTTGCTCTCTGTTCAGTCTTACGCTGTTAGCAACTTGGGGCAGATTGTTCCATCCTGTATGTTTGAAAGGCACACCGCTTACGGTGAGCACTTTCTCAGACGGAAGACTAACAGCCAGATAAAGCAATAAAGAGCAGTACTTTTCACCTCCAGTGTATATTTAAAACAGTTTCCCCAGAGCTCCTGCCAGTCGTGAGTTCTGTCACTTGTTTTCTTCATCCTTGAAGCCATCAGTACCTGAAGGTCCTCCTAGCTTTGTGCGTCTACAGGTTGAAGTACCTTGGTGTAGAATAATCGGGCTTCAGACATGGGTCGAGTGAGAATGGAATAGTACATCATTAGCAAAAAGTTTGAAAGCTTTGGTATTGTTTTTGCTCCCTAGTCTTTGGGTTATTTTTGGTAGACTCTTGCCCTTTTATTTCATTCAGCTTTCTGCCTCTGCCTCTGTGGCTGGTTATTTTCCATATTCCCACCGTGGCACTTCCGGTTTCTCTGAGCCCCTAAGGCCAGAGGCAAAGCAGCCTGTGCTGCCGACACCCCACAGCCCGGGGCATAGCAGGCTGCGCAGGGCCCACCTCCCTGTCCCTCAGGGCCTGCGGGAGGGGTGGCGACCCCACAGGAGGAGCGGCGACACCCCAGACGCGGCGGAGAAGCGGCGGCCCAAACAGGCAAAGACATCTGTTCAGGCCTCAATTAACCGGCATATTTTGTTATCCAGCACCCCCCATTCCCCATGGGTGCCAGATAATAAAGCTTTTACTGTACATCATTGTCCTAATTAGTACTTGATGGAGGATAGCAGTTTGTCCATAATGCTACTTTGTATAAAAAGAGACAGAGTTATTTCCACAAGATAGGGAATCATACTTCAGTTCAGTTGCCTATGAGTCTTAGAGATAATGAGAACTGGATTGGTTATGAGGATAGGAAAGGTTTTCACATCCATGCTTTCAAATCCAGCCTGGGTACTTACAGAATGGATCCCATCCTGAAATGTAAGATACACAAGAAAACTATAGTACTGGTGTGGTGGTCCCCTGAAGCCCTTGACAATCTGTATGTAGCAACCTACTCAATTCACAGCTTTATGGAAATTTAAAAAAACAAAAAAAAAAACTTACTGAAAATTAAAATGCTGGCTCCCCAGTGGGAGCCAGTAATCCTCATGGCTGCTGCAGCCCAGCTGCACAGCCCGTCAAGGGGGGCCTCTGCTGGCACAACAGGGAGCAAACTAGATGGAGGCTACCCGCTTCCCTCCTCACTGATGATTGGCTGAGAGGGTTGCCTGTCATGCAACTCCACCCCTTCCACCAAACAGTGGTGAAGGGTGGAGCCACACAACAGACAGCCCTCTCGGCTAATAAGTGGCACGGGGCAGGACCACATGACAGACAGCGCTCTCACCTAACCAGTGGCTAGAGGTGGGGCCACTGGGGCCCCTAGGACAATCAGAGGCATGGGAGCCCCACTGTGTTTAAGCTTGTGAAAATGGCGGCCAGCCCTGTGATCTGTCTGCAAAATTGGCTGCCTGCCTCCTCGATTTAAGTAGGTCCCTATCAATATGGGTTCAACGGTCCAGCCACATGCAGTTCCCCGCAGGATCAGTACCAACAAGTGTTGTAGGCCTGGGGCTGTTGAGAGCCCAGGCTAAACAAGTTTATGGTTTTAGCCCAGTTCTCAGGGAGTTGGCCTCCCATCTCTCTCTCTCTCTCTCGTTCATAAATATGTTCATTGTAGTTTAATTGGCAAATTATGACCCAGGTCAGAGCCTGAAAACTTCTGTCCCCTAGGGCTGCTCCATTCAGAACCCTGTTGTGAGGGCACTCTGCACCTGTTTTGCTGATAACTGAAACATTTCCCTGCAGGGCTACCAATCCAGCATTCTTCCTGTGCACATTCTCGTATTCTCTTTAAAAGCATATAAAGGAAAAATCTACATCCCAAACATTTTAGTCTTGCTGGTAGTCCCCCCATTCCTTGCATTTAAGTGCCTTTGGGTATGTACCACATACCTGTACCACATACCTGCCCCTTCAGAAAGGGTGCAAGAGCTCCTGCTCAGGAACACTAGCAGCTGTTACACTTAAGTGTTCAGGAACCTGGAGCAATACAAGCGTAGCAAAACTGCTCCAACATTAACCCTGCTTCCTCCAGGTTTAAAGTTGAAGTGATGTAGCTTACTTGCATCACTACAGGTTTATGCACACCTAACAGTTACAGCATAATAGCTGCTGCATGCCCCCCAGCAGCAGTTCTCCCTCCCTTTTTGAAGCTACAAGTGTATGTCTGTCCATTCCCTTTCTATGCAGCTTGGTCTTGGTTGTTTACCTCTTTGGCTTTCTTTATATATTGGTAAAAAGAAAAAAAATTGCCAGAACTCCAGTTCTTCTCTTCACCTACCACCCTCTCTAGTCAGAAGCAACTTTCTCTAAACAAAAGCAGCTAATCCTAAGGCACATGTGTGTACACCAGAGGTTCTCAATGTTCTTCATGTGGCCCAAGGACATCCCTTGCAAAATGCCAAGGCTCTTAGCTGTCACTTATTTTTAGAGTATGAAAAAATAAAAGAGCACTTCTTCTGCAGCAAAAAACTCAGAGCCCACAATAGGGTGCCACATTGCCCTGGCTGAGAATCACTGGTGTACGCTATGTAAGTATCTTACAGTCTGGAGAACTCAAGACTTTCTCCACATCTTAATTTTGCAATATTCTACTGGCTTCTCCCTTTGCAAACTAATGTGACCAAAGATTTTAAATAATGTTCTTCTACTTGTTAAAAGCAAACTCAAGCCAAAACAAAGGGAAAAGGCATCTCACTTAGGGAATGTGTAATTCAGGTCAGTGCTTTTCCTAAAGTGATGATGAGGCTGTTTGTTTATTTTTCATTTGTTAGTTGGCGTAGTTTAATTTTGCAGCTGCTAAATCTGTGCTCCATTCTATTAGGTTTTTCTGTGCAAAGACTATTTATTGGGGTTTTTTGTTTTCCATTTTTGTTGTTTAATTTTTTTCTTAATGAAAGTGAATAGAGAATGGAATCAGAAATCTTATTTGACCAGAATTGTTAAATAATGGAAGATAGTGAGCCACATTTGATAGAAGATATTGGCTAATCAAAATCTGCAAGTGTTAAAAAATAGCAACAAGGAGAAATCTTTTTCATTTAATTATAATTACGCTACCCTGGATCATCCAGGTCTAGATAGTACAGAGTCACCCGTACTTTAAAACTGACAGCATTTACAAATTGCAGCTATTGACTACTGTTCTACCTTCCTCAAGGAGTTTTGTATCTTCACTTCTATATACCAAACTGTTCCTCTGCACAGAGAGAGCCTAATTTAGCTCTTAAAATAGAGCTCCATTGACTCTTAAAATAGAGTTTCTCCATTGACTTCAGTCAAAGCAAGACTGTGGCCAGACAACTATAAAACAATTATCTAGATAATCCTTTTTTTTTTAAATCCCTACTGTGTTATGCATAACGCTTTGGAGAAATTATTTTATTGGTAATGGACATAAAGCTAGTGAAAAATGTTACTGGAGAAAATTTACAATATTTGTTGTTACATATGTTTTTCTTAAGGCAAGGAATATGATTTTTTAAGTGTATGTGCAACCCTCATTTAAGTTAATAGAGTTTTGTACATTAACAAAACACTGCAGAATTTAAAGTACTTTTTTAAAGCTGAATTAGTTGAGCGCTATTTCAATTCTGCTGGAAAATTTGGACGTCTAATTAGTATTGTTATCCTTGGTGAGACTCAAAGATTAAAGTAATTTGAATTTGTCGTCTCTATGGGGTACTTAACACATATTGTGTTCGGGGGGGGGGGGGGGGGGGGGGGTGGTGGCGCGTGTTTT